ATAAGTTGTGAGGTAAAAGTTGCTGAAAGATGGCTACCAGGCGACAGAGAAAGCTGGCTGAGGAAAGAGAGGTAGACCAAGAGGAAAGTTCGAGCTCTGAGACAGAGACCGAGCCGATGCCTTTCTCAGAAATGGCTTGTAAGTATAAACTAGAGATGAAACGATTGGAGATGGAGGAAAAACAGAGAGAGTTTGAAGAAAGACAGAGAGTGAGAGAATTGGAACAGGAGTTAGAATGGAAGAGAATGGAGTTTGAGCTAGAGAAACAAAGATTGGCTTTGTCTCAAACATCCAGGGATATCCAGGAAGGGAGATCTGGAGGAGATACCCCAGATTTGAAGAAAAATTCCCAAAATTTACCAAAGACGATGGCCCAGAGAAATTCCTAATATCTTTTGAGAGATGTTGTCGAGATTTTGGGGTGGCTAAGGAAAAATGGATGACATACCTAAGGCCTCAGATAAGTGGGAAACTTTTGCAGATTTATGGACAGATGTCTGAGGATTCATATGGAGACTATGATCTGTTTAAGAAACAGATTCAACAAGAATTTAGATTGACTCCTGAATATTATAGATTTAAGTTCAGGACATTAAAGAAAGATAAAACTCAAAGTTTTGGTCAGGTGGCCTCAAGATTGTCTCAACTGTTCGATAGTTGGATAAGGACATCTGAGGTGGAAGATTATCAACAGCTGAGGGAACTTTTGAAGCTGGAGCAGTTTTTCCAACTAGTGCCTTATGATATTCGTTGGGTGATTCAGGATCGCAAGCCATCCACAATTGTAGAGGCAGCGGGTATGGCAGATCAAATAACAACCTTAAAAGAAGGATTTAAGAGAAAAGATCTGCCAGGTGACAAAAGAACAAGAATGTCAGTTTTCACCTATTTGATCATTCCCCATTGGTTTACATTGAAATCGCAAGCCGTCTCAAAAAGACTCAAGTTACTGCAAGAATGTAAGTTTTCACCTATTTGATCATTCCCCATTGGTTTACATTGAAATCGCAAACCGTCTCAAAAAGACTCACGTAACTGCAAGAATGTCAGTTTTCACCTATTTGTTCATTCCCCATTGGTTTACACTGAAATCGCAAACCGTCTCAAAAAGACTCACGTAACTGCAAGAATGTCAGTTTTCACCTATTTGATCATTCCCTTTGGTTTACATTGAAATCGCAAAGCGTCTCAAAAAGACTCAAGTTACTGCAAGAATGTCAGTTTTCACCTATTTGATCATTCCCCATTGGTTTACATTGAAATCGCAAGCCGTCTCAAAAAGACTCAAGTTACTGCAAGAATGTAAGTTTTCACCTATTTGATCATTCCCCATTGGTTTACATTGAAATCACAAACGGTCTCAAAAAGACAAGTTACTGCAAGAATGTCAGTTTTCACCTATTTGATCATTCCCCATTGGTTTACATTGAAATCGCAAACCGTCTCAAAAAGACTCAAG